TGATTGCTCTCAATTTGCATGTTATATTCTAAGATTGAATCTTGAGAGGTTCATTTCACTGGTATCGGAGCTGGAACCCGTTGCACTGCGGTGGTGGAAGAAAGCCGGCAAGGCATAAGGCCGGCGGGTGTGTGCGTGTCGGGGTTTCACTGTAGCAGGCGAGAAGAAGGAAAAAGGTGCTAAATCAAGTTTGGAACGAGATCTACGCACCTGCAGAAGACGAAGACCGGCGGGGAGCAGCATCGTGAAGACCCAAGTGAAGTGCTTTCTGCCCTTAGCCCTGCCTGCTCGATCTTTTTGCTGTTTTTTTGGTGAAATTTCCACGTATTTTCTTGGTGACGGCTGCTGCAGGTCAGTACTGTAGGTGTCACTGTAGCGACAACCCCGTCAAGCTCGAGTCAGACCCTGAAGTAGGTAAGGATAAGTGTCGGGAGTAAGTCTAAGTGGTGAGGAGGTGGAGCACACTTACTTGCTGTGCTGAATTACCGCTATGGATGACTATCCCATGTTCGCCTTCTTGGCTCTCTCCGTTGTATGGGAGCCACTGTTCCGCATTGTTTTTCCGCTGGGATTCTACCGGACTGTTAGACATTGTACCACGACCAAATCCGGTATGACCACACAGCCATACTCAGCAGCAGAAGAGGCCCAAATTGCTGAGAAGTTGAGGGAGCAGAGAGAAAGGAAGGAGGCAAAGAAAAAGCAAAAGGAGGAGGATTTGAAAAAGAAGTTAGAAGAAGAGAAAATAAAAATGAAGGAAGAAATGAAGAGGAAGGAGGAGGAAATGAAAAAACAAATGGAGGCGGAAGAAGAAGAAGAAGAAGAAGAAGAAGAAGAAGAAGAAGAAGAAGAACGTTTGGTGAGAAGACAAAAGGGTGACGGTGCAGAAAGTGGCCAGGCAAGCCACTTACAAATCCACCAAGGCGGCGAGGGGGAATGGATGGAGAGATTTGGGTTCCGCAATGAAATGCCCGATGAGGACGAGAAGGAGAAGCAGGAATTTGAAGCAAGGCTGGAGAAGGCCGAGCCTGAGGAGAGAGGGTTATTAATTGCAGAGAGGGATAACCTCCTCCATCAGCGGTTGTCAAGTCAAAAGAGGCGGGAGTTTGAAGAAAAGAAAAAGCTGAGGGAGGAGGGAGAAGCGCTCCAGCGAAGGTTGAAAGAGCAGAGGGGCAAGGAGACTGACACAAAGGAGGCTTTGACGCTCGTGACCGACGCCCTGCTGCACACCGCCCAGGAATTGACCGCACTGCAGAAGACCGTAGGGAAATTGGAACGGCACCAAGAAAAATTTAAGGATACATGGGACGATTTCCTCTGCGCATCCACTCACCGAATTGACGATAGGACTGCCAATTATGCTCAGCAGTTAGCAGACATCTTCACCAACAAGCTTGTGAACACCATCGCAGCAGTAAAGATAGGTGGCGGTGGTGGAGGAGGAGATGGTGGAGATCCGGGGGACGATGGAAAAGGAGGAGGAGCTCGAAAAGGAGATGTGAACCGGAACGGGAATGAACAGCGAACTGAAGAAGGAGAAAGGAGGGAGAAGATGAAGGTTAAGGTCCCGTGGACCTACAATGGGAAGAAAGAAGAGAACTTTTTGTGTTGGCAGGCAGCAATGGACACATACCTGTATGCGCAGTTAATCCCTTGCCACGACCGTGTGTTGATGGCCAGTTCATGTCTTGGAGGGGACGCTGCCAACTTCGGCTTATCCTTGATAAAGGCAGCAGGTTGCTCGTCGATGGTAGAGTATTCCCAACGCAACCGCATAGAGGACTTTATGAAAGCTCTCAAGGAAAGGTTCGAGGACAAGAACCTGGCCCGGCATACAGAGTACCTGATTCTCAACATCGGTAATCGCAGGTGGAAGAGTGTGTCCGCTTTGAAGTCCACAATAGACGAACTGTTGCAGTGTCCCGAGCACGGGTTGACTCCCACGCAGATTCTGAACAACTTCGCAAGGGCACTTCCCGATCCTCTGAAGTCCCAATTGTACGCCCAGACAAAGGAAGAGGGCATGACGTATGAAAAGTTCAGCAAGATTGCTGTAGACCAGGCCGGTTTCCTTCAAGAAGCAAATTACTGTCATTATTGGAAGGATTTGCAGAAAGGGAACCGATGGAAGAACAAGACCATATCCGGTAACATCAAGGGGAAGGGCGGGCTTCTAGTTACATTTGAGGAGGGGGGAGTGGAGGCTCTACCCTACGAAAACATATATTACGGACTGGAAGACCCGGACAGCAACCAATTAGCCCAGGGAGGGGACTACGCGGTTGTTGCAGCCCGCGGGGGAGGTCGACAAGGAGGTAGAGGAGGCCGAGGTAGAGGAGGCCGAGGAAGAGGTGGAGGTAGAGGATGCGACACCCAGGGGAGTAGCAGCGAAGGTAGCTACTACGTGGGAGGTAGGGGTAATGGCTCCCCGCAAGGTGGACATGGTTCTCCCTTCACAGGAGGAAGAGGTAGAGGGCGCAAGCCATGGCCAGCCCATCCCGGGATTGCTGATGGCGAGCCCTGGAAGGAGATGGGCATTGACCAGACAGTGTGGCAGAAAAGGCTGTACGCCAATCAATGCTTGAAATGTGGTGATCCTCATCACATTGTCTGTTTTTGCCCCGACTACCACTACCCAAAAGGGAGCAGCCAGTAGGGGTGGCAGCTGCTCCTACAGGGCCTTCACACTTAGACAGACAGATAGAAGCGCGCGCTGAACAGGCACCCTCCTGTCTGAAGAGCCCAATGGCAGAAGCTGATGCAGGCCCCCACCTAGATGGCTGTCCAGAGACCGCTTGTGCTAGGGTCTCTCTAGGTGGTTCCCTCGCAGGCATTGGTGATGAGCTGATCACTCGTCGCCCCGTTTGGCTGAAATGAAGAAGAGAAGAGGACAGCTAATTTTGGGAGATGTAGAGATTAGTCGGACGCGAGTAGGAGCCTTAGTGGATAGTGGCTCTACGCGTAGTTTTATTAGTAGAAGAGGACTGAAGAAGTTGCACTTAGAAACGAAGGTGCGGAAGTTGAGCGAGCCGGTAGCGAGTAGACAGGCCGATAATCGTGAGATGCGTGTGGAGGAATATGTCGAGGGGATCAAGGCATACTTCCGGTTAGAGGAGGGAAGGAAGGTAGAAAAGGTTTTGCATTCCCTCACCCTCTTAGTGGAAGGCAACCTTCCCTTTGACTTGATTTTAGGGACAGACTGGGGAGAAGCAACCATGGCAGATGTCAAGATGGGTGAGCATGAGTGCTGGCTGCCCAGCCCCACCGGGGGCAAGAAAAAGATGAGGCTGTTCCATGAGTCCGGTCTAGAGTCCCACTTATCCGTTTGCTGTATGAGTGCCCCTGCATTCGCCCGACACGTGACAAAGGAAAAGTTGGAAGATCAGGTCTTTGTGGCCTATGTGAAACCGGTGAGTGAAGAGAGTAAGGGTGAAGACAAGACGCCGCCCCAAGTGGAGAACCTGCTGCGAGAGTTTGCTGATGTTGGAGAAGCCCCAACTGGAGTAGTAGAGCGGGACGTCAAGCACCGGATTGAAATAGAGCCCGGTAGCAAGATTCCCAGGGGCCCAGTCTATAGAATGTTTCCCAAGGAACTGGATGAACTGCGCAGGCAACTAGATGAGCTGATTGAGAAGGGGTGGATAAAGCCCAGTTCGTCACCATACGGTGCACCAGTTCTATTCGTGCCGAAGAAAGAGGGTGAATTGCGGTTGTGCATTGATTATCGAGGATTGAATGCTATCACGGTCAAGAATGCTGAACCGTTGCCCCGGATTGATGACCTCTTAGACAGGGTGCAGGGATGTAATTATTTCTCCAAGATATATCTGAAGTCCGGGTACCACCAGGTTGAGGTACAGCCGGAGGACCAGCACAAGACGACCTTTAGGACTCGCTATGGTCACTACGAGTTTGTTGTGATGCCGTTTGGGTTGACCAATGCTCCTGCAACATTCCAAAGATGCATGAATGATCTGTTTAGAGATTGGTTGGATAAGTTTGTTGTAGTTTATTTAGATGATATTCTGATCTTTAGCAAGAGTTTGGAGGAGCATCAGAATCATCTACGTCAGATATTGACCAAATTGCGCGAGTCTAATTTTAAGATTAACCCGAAGAAGTGTGAGTGGGCCAAGCGCCAAGTCCTGTATTTGGGACACGTGGTAGATGGAGATGGAGTGAGACCGGAGGACGCCAAGATAGCAGCAATTCGTGACTGGCCAACCCCGCACACGTTGACTGAGTTGCGGTCGTTCTTAGGACTGGCCAACTACTACCAGAAGTTTGTTCGTAACTTCACTTCCGTTGCTGCTCCTTTGTGTCGGCTGCTGCGAAAGGAAACTGTTTGGAATTGGGACAAGGACTGTACATCAGCCTTCAAGAAGTTGAAGAAGTCCCTTATCGAGTACCCGGTCCTTAAAGTAGCTGATCCATCCTTACTGTTTGTTATAACTACCGATGCTAGCCAGTACGGCATTGGCGCTGTTCTCCAATAGAATGATGGAGATGGGTACAGACCCGTTGAGTTTATGTCTTCCAGGCTACCTAGTGACAAGGTAGCAGCATCAACTTATGAGTGTGAGCTCTTCGCCCTCAGACAGGCTTTAGACCATTGGCGACACTACCTGCTATGACGACACTTCAAGGTATACTCAGATCATGAAACTCTGCGTTGGTTGAAGACCCAGACCCGCATGACTCCTAAGTTGACTAGGTGGGCTGGGGAGATTGATCGGTTTGATTTTGAGTTGAAACCAGTCAAGGGTAAGTACAATGTCGTTGCTGATGCATTGAGCAGACGTGCAGATTTCTTTGGTGCAATAGCGACTTACCTAGACGTTGGCGCAGATCTGCAGCAAAAGATCAAGGCTGCATACACTGATGATCCCGTGTATAGTACGCTGATAAAGAAGGTGCAGACCACACCTCAGGAAGTCGCTGATTTTAGAATGGTCGATGGACTGCTGTTTGAAAAGACTGATGTGCATGATAGGCTATGCATACCGTGTAATGAAGAGGTACGCAGTCTGATCCTAGGGGAATGCCACGATATTGAAGGCCACTTTGGCTGGCGGAAGACCTATGCTACCCTACTAAGGTCCTACACGTGGCCAGGCATGAAACATGATTGTATCACCTACATCCAAGGCTGCCAAGTATGTCAGAGGAACAAGAGTTCCACGCGGCCTCCCCTCGGACTGTTGAAACCCTTGCCTATCCCATCTGGTCCCGGTGAATCTGTATCTATAGATTTCATGGACACTAAGGTCAAGAGTCGTAGTGGGAAGAGTCAGGTCATGGTCGTAGTTGAAAGGTTTAGTAAATTCGCCGTTTTTGTACCATTACCTGTTGAAGCAAAGACAGATCTGGTCATCAAAGAGTTCTTTAATCATTGGGTCAAGGATTACGGTCACCCGTTGAGCATAGTTAGTGACCGAGATACCCGGTTCACAGGGGAACAGTGGCAGCAGTTAATGAAGGTCTACGGATCTAAGTTAGCTATGTCATCTGGTCGCCACCCTGAGACAAATGGCCAGACTGAGCAGATGAACAAGATTCTACAGCAAGTACTGCGTATGTACATTATACCAGATCAGGTAGATTAGGATGAACATCTTCCCAAAGTAGCTAGTGTGTATAACAACTCGGTTCACCTAGCTACCTCGCGGACCCCGAACGAGCTCCATAGAGGCTGGAGTCCCCGACGTCCCATAGACTGTTTGAATCCAGATCAGATCCAGAGACTGCCACCTGGCACACGTGAGTTTGCCATTCAGTATGAAAAGGATTTGCAACGTGTGGCTGAGAACATCCGGAAGGCCCAATATCAAATGATGGAACAGGCGAACAAGCACCGTCGTCCGTCACAGTTTGCGATAGGTGATCTTGTCTGGGTCAAGTCTAAAGAGTTTATTCACGAGGAAGGGATTTCGCGGAAGTTGCTACCTGCCTACAGAGGGCCGTGGCAAGTGCTAGATGTCAAAGGTGACGCAGATGGACCGTCATACACCATCGAGATTCCACCCCATCTGCATACCTATCCCATTTTTCACGCTTCTAAGCTCCTTCCCTGTGTGACTAATGATGTATTTCCCTCGCACAGATCTATGATTCCACCTGATATGGACGGAAGATATGATGTCGAGATTTTTGTGGCTGAGGACACCTTCCGTACAGGTCGTAGAGGGAGGCCACAGAGACAATACAAGGTCAGATTTGCTTATCAGGATCCCAACGAAGATCGCTGGTTCACTAGGGATGAGTTAGTTCAGACAGCCCCTCACATAGTGTCCTACTACGAGCGGGCACGCAGAGGATTGAACATCTATGATCGCTAAAGTTCTTATTTTTCTCCGAGGACCTCGAAATTAGGCCGGCGGGAGTGAATGGATTCACACTGCAAGCTTTCCCAGTCCCGTTTACAGGTCCTACATCATCCCAGTCCCAGGCCCCCGTCGATTAGAATCTTAGGGCCTGAAGGATCAGGCGTCGCAGGCCGGTTGGCTACAGTACCGTATAGTACCTGTAGGAGCATGTCAAGTCCCCAAAAGTACAATTTTGCAGCAGCCTCACAAGAAAGTTGGGAACTTTCCCAAAATAGCAATTTGGCAAGNAGTACCTGTAGGAGCATGTCAAGTCCCCAAAAGTACAATTTTGCAGCAGCCTCACAAGAAAGTTGGGAACTTTCCCAAAATAGCAATTTGGCAAGGCAGAGGCCGAAGGAGGCCAGTACCGATTGAAGCAGGAATGAAACAATCCACTGCAACTATATATCTTGGACTACAGTGCCAAAAGGGGCACTTGTTCATTTCGCAGAATTGTGGAAGCGTTGCGAGAGCTTGTGCGATCAARCGACCTGSACGAAGAAGGAGCACAAGGGGGAGAAGTGCGCAGTGCCTGGCTGCTACAGTCAGCCATAGCCAGGCGAGAGGGGAGAGGYTCCCCGGTGGCCATAGCCACCCAGRATCAGTAAGGCACACCGTAGTAGCATTCAGGGTAGATCTAGGACGTCGAGAGAGGAACARTCAGTGAGGAACAGTGAGGGAGGAACAGTGCAAGAGAGAGAGAGAGAAAGAGACTATCRAGAGAGACAGGGAAAGAAAGAAAGAGAGAGAAGAGAAGCAGCCGAGGGAGGAGGAAGTTGGTTACATACCTGAGGCTTGTTGCAGCGGTTCAAACCGCTTATTCTCAAACTTTTCCAATTGTATATTATTGCACCTTGAGTGGAACTTCGAATTTGCACTGTTCATGGACATCACTCCAGCTTGTGTGAACTTCATCTGATTGCTCTCAATTTGCATGTTATATTCTAAGATTGAATCTTGAGAGGTTCATTTCAGTCACATCACCTTTTTTTTTTTTATATGTGGCCCGGTGGACCACGGATGAGATATTCAACTGACCAGAACAGATACTACACTTGATCTTAGCCAACAGGCCGAGAAAGGTATTCCTTTTCTATTCTCAGGTGGTAGTATCTTTGCCCTTTCCTTTTATTAATTAATTGGACGTCTCCGACTGCGAGTACACTGCCCACAGGCCTTGTAGAAAATAGTGAGTTGCCAACCCCAAATTTCTGCAGCTCACCAACGACCTTGGGTCTCACTCCACTACACTAGACTCACGAAAAAATTCGTGCAGGTTCCCGAACGATTTCCTCCACCGAGTCTGTCTACTAACACCCCTCCTACCGGGATCCCTTAAGACAATCCCTACTGTAGGTTCCCCACCGATATCCTCCAGCAGAGCTTGTCCCAAGCCAACCTCCCCCCAAACGGGACCCCATCCCACCTCAGGTCCTTGCCCCCCCCAAAGCAGAGCCTAAGGTAACCAACACACATGAGCAGTCTAACCACAAACCTGTACCTGCATCCTCATTAGACTGCTAAGTTGCTAACTGTATCAGGCAAACCCCTCATAGGCCAGGACCCAACATACAACACCATGGGCAGTCCCCTGGGTGGTGTGCAGGCAGTGTCTGTAATAGCTTACCATGCGTCAGCCCAAGGGGGGTGTGTCCAGCCGTGCGTCATTCTAATGCCCTGCCAGTGTCCATGCGTGAGGCTGCGGATTTGAACCCGCAACCCCATACCACAATGCGCATTTCCAACCGGCGCTTTAACCACTGAGCTACATCAACCGAACATGACAGCCCTTCTACAGCGCTAGATAGATGACAGCGCCAGCTCGTTCTGATGGTCGGGGCAGGAGGCACACTCGCGAAAACAGAGGCCCAAGCGGGGGTAGGAGGGAGGACGCTAGAAAACCTGAGCACTGCAGGCTGTGAACTCTATACAAATTGAGAGTGCCCCCCTTCGAGAGCGCTTCCTGACAGCTCTCGAAGGGTGTTGTCATGAGTTTCAGTCTAGAGTAAGTAGAGCGAGGCATTACTCTTGAGACTTTGGGAGTCCAGCGTAGTGGAGCGAGGCCCCTTAGCTCAGTTGGTGTGTACACCCATGACCTGTTGAAAACCAGACCTAAGTTCGAAATTCGAATCCTTTTTTTTTTTTTTTTTTTTTTTTTTTGGGTTAGCTTGAACCTGATGGACCTACGTAAATGGAAGGAAAAACTCTGTGTATTGTGACTCGCTGTGTAGGTGGGTCTGGATCTCACTTAAGTTGGGGGATAAGCTATGTTCTTTTGTGTCTGTGTATGCCCCTGTGGAAACCAGAGAAAAGATTTGATTTTTTGAAATTCTGCCTATGCTTTTACCTAATGAACATAATCTGGTCATTGGCGGGGACTGGAATACAATCCAGGACCCGAGTTTGGACTCTTCAGCAGGGAACTCACTTAGACAGGATTCTAGAGTCATTAACTGTTTTAGAGAAAGTCAAGAGCTCACAGACCCCTTCAGGTCCTTACACCTGACAGAGAAACGATTCACATGGGTTGTCAGCAAAGCTAGAGCGAACAGTTCTCATACTAAGCTTAGGTTAGATTTCTTTTTACTGAAAGGTAGCTCAGTGGAATGGGTAATGGAAGTGGCCATGCCATTCGAGTCCCTGTTAGACCACCGACCTGTTCTAGTTTCCGTCGTTCCAGACAGCAGAATCCAAAGGGGGAAATGATATTATAGGCTTAACACGGCAGTGTTGGCAGACTGACTGTTAGCGGCCTCTATCAGGAACTTCTTGAAAAAATGGAAAGAGAACAAAAAATACTTTTAGAATGATGGGGAGTGGTTCGATGCTGGGAATAAAGCTGCAGCCTCCATGCTCAGTTTTGCTTCAAAGATCAAGGCGACTAACCGGAAAGTGGAGGAACAGGAACTCGTAGCGAGAATCGAGTGGGCGGAAGAAACAGTTGGCAGCTCTTTAGTGTGGGATGAGTACTGGTACGCCAATAAATTCTTTGAGAGATAAACTGGAAAACATGCAGATAGAGCAGGAAAAGATTTGGGCAGAAAGAGCAAGGGTTAAGCGGTTGGAGGTGGGGGACAGACTCACCAAGGAAAACTTCCAAAGGCTTTCCAAGGAAAAAGGTAGCTCACACAACCATATATTGTCCATTCTGAATTGCCAGCACAATTCGTAGGGATCTGTTCTATAATTACGTATCCTTGAATTTCGACTAT